GTCTCCCAGCCTAAAGGCTGCAGATTAAGTGCACCAGGTGAAGGCGATCTGGTAATCAGGGGGTTTGGAGGCTCTCACACAGAGGGCTATGAGGAGCAAGCAGTGTGTGTGAGAATGGTTGGAGAGTCTGGACTTGGAAGAAGGAGACTGCAGGATTAAAGCTTGATTCAAATACATCTTTTGCATCTACCAAACATTCTACTTCCCAGCATTTGCCAACCTGATGTGCAGTGTTGAATGTTGTTGTTTCCTTAGGTTTTTACATACTTATGAAGGAAGAAGGAGCCAGTGAGCTGTCAGCTATGTTATGCGTCTCTGCAGCTTGCATTGGGATTAAAGAGTTAAAAAAAATAGTACAGTTAAAATGTGGTGTATTTAAAAAGAGGTTCAAGCCAAAAGTAATTTGATAATTGTGATTTTGATTATTTAAAAGCTGTAAGGTTAAACTCATCATTGAACAGTGCTTTGAAATACATTTAATTTATTTTGGGTGCTTTAAATATGTTTTTCTTTTTTAAATACTTAGTTTCAAGACTAATTTCAAGTAGTTTAAAAAATAAGTATTTGATTTTGGGTTATGTTAATTGATTATGGTTTCTTGGGTTACGTTTTCTTGAACTTTGATTGCTGTTTGTGTTTAAAGGTTTTTCACCTGTTGTGGCCTTGATGACTTTCAAAGTAAAAGAAAAAGATGAATCTTGGTCGTTGAGGGAATTGCAGTCCAATCTTCTGAAGTAAGCTGCCTTTTCAAGTGGGGAAGCTGCAGGTTAAACCTCACAAGAGTGAGAAGCACTTGACAGTCATCATGATGTTATCATGTGACAATAAAACATTTTTCAACCTAAAACCAATACAAGGAAAAGATTCCATAGAACAGTCTCCATTGTTGTCTCATTTCCAAGCATTTCTTTAAATAATCCATCTGTGGTCACAAGAATATGCAGGCTGCTCTGACCTTTGAAACTGTCAATGTGGTTGGTGAAGGTAATACTTTAAATACACTGCACATTTTACATATAGATTTTACTCTCTCTTTTTTCTGACAGAAAAGCTCTTATGCAGGTACACAAATGTGTATTGCATTTTCTTCACTCCTTCACCTGTGTTTTGTCTAAGTTGCACCAAAAACAAATCACTAAAATGTTTAGCTCAAGAGCTTTTTTGTGTCAAAGACACATTAGACAACAACAGTGAGAGGATTTCTACACATGTAAGAACTGCCATAGGGAAAAAAAATATAGTTAATTGTGGCTTTACACAAGTAATATAACAGTGTACACCAAAAGCACAGTGATATTAACAGGAGTTATGATAAAACAGTCACACTATCAGTTATGAATCATAAAAAAGAAATATTAATGAACACTAGAAGAGTCCATTTCATCACTTATCACTCATAAAGTGTCTATGTAGGACCACACTACTAAGTGCTAAGTTAACTCTTTGAGGTTACTTTGATATTCTGATGGAATTAGACAGTATCTGACATTAACTAGTACATCTACCAAACATTCTACTTCCCAGCATTTGCCAATCTGTTGAATGTTGTTGTTTCCTTAGGTCAGGAGTGTCAACATCCGGTCCTCGAGGGCCGCAATCCTGCATGTTTTAGACGTGTCCTTCTTCCAACACACCTGATTCAAATGATCAGGATCATTATCAGACTTCTGCAGAGCTTGATGATGAGCTGATCATTTGAATCAGGTGTGTTGGAAGAGGGAAACATCTAAAACATGCNAGTATCTGACATTAACTAGTACATCTACCAAACATTCTACTTTCCACCATTTGCCAATCTGTTGAATGTTGTTGTTTCCTTAGGTTTTTACATACTTATGAAACCCTGGAAGTCTAAATCCATGTTTTTGAGACATCAGTCATTAGTACAATGCAGTTTCAAGGTGGAAATGAGCTGTCAACCAGGAGTCATGATGTTGACTGTTTATTTCTCCCATGATGTGTCTTCTAGTATGAAAAAAAACACTATATGGGCATGTTATCAAGGTTAAAAAATAAAAAATAAAGCAACATATTGTCTCACTGAAAGGCAAGACTATGATGTAGTAGGAAAGACATCCAGTTGAGAAGAGCCACAAAGCCCATGTAAGGAGGTAGAATTGAGGCTTATGTCAAAAACAGGACCTTCCCTAAGGAGACCTGGGTTTGTGTACTGTCTCGACCATTATTCTTAGACTTAATTTTTTTTTTTTCCACTCACAGTTTGGTTAACTTTAGGCACCACCTAAACATCAATTTCATAAACACCACTTTATCATCTGTAGGGTATTTTAACATATCAAACACTCCACAACTGGTGTCGTCACAATAAGTGTTCGTATTTGTAGGTGGTGCTTTCTGGTAGCATATTAATACAGAAATTGAGAAAACAGACATCACACAAGAAATCATTTATTGCTTACGCTGTAGTGGAATACATAACTTTTATACTTCTGCGAAAGAAAAACAATAAGCACGGCCAAACAGAGTGGAAGACCCCCTCTGGTGAAAATTAAGCTCTTTACCATGTTAACATGTTCATATGGGTTTTTTTTGAATATGCTGGAAGACATATCAGGAGCAAAATATTTTTTAGCATATACTTTCCCGGGGAAAATAGATTTTTCATATCTTGGGGTTGGAGCATAGGGTCACTCAGATAGGGCACACAGATAGGGTTTAGAGTCTTGGTTGTGTGGTCCTTGAACCTCAACTTTCCAATCAGTAGCAAAGATCCTGCATCACTAAGCCATCATTGCCACATAAATGCACTTTGGCCCGCACAGGGATCGAACTCAGCCATAAAATTGTTAGTAAACCCCATGGTTAAATATTCTTCTATTCTTCTAAATATTATTCTGCTGTGCACTGATGACAATCTCAAAAAAAACAAAAAACAGATTCAGACTTCAGTAGTTCAAAATTCAACAAACCTAAAGTATCCAAATCCTGTCAACTTGTAGTGTAGGGCTTTCTGCTGTTCTTCTTCAAAACCAGTTTCCATTGTGCATATATGTATAGCTAGAATATTCCAATATTACAGCTTGCCATTGAGATACCAGAGAGGTACTGCAGATCCTTCCTTCCTGCTGCTTTCAGACTTTACAACCAGTCATACTTCTCTGTGGAACAATATCAACACATTCTGTGAAGTATTAATAATTTATATTATTATTATTTAATATTATTTATATTTTAATTTAAAAAACCCTATGCAATGTCTATTTTCCTACATTTACTAGAATATATGCTACATTGTTATTTTTCTGCTTACATACAATCTGTGCAATACAGACAATAATCTGTGCAACTATTAATACTTCTCTCAGTATTTCTATTCATAGAAGAATATCACTGATATGTACTTTTTATGAACTGCTACCTTTAGAACTTGTGTGTATATTTTGGTTTATTTTTGGTTTATTTTTAATTTTTATACGACAGTCCTTTATGTTTGCACTATCGTTGCTGTTGCAATGCTGCAAATGTCCCCACTGTGCGATTAATAAAGGCTTATCTTATCTTTGTATAGTGTAGGGTAGTTTTACACTGTCATAGGTGAGCTGATGTGCTCAAGCTGCAATGAGTGATGGAGGGGTGGGTGGAGAGATTGGCAGCAATGTCATTGATCTCACATTATAGAGGAACTAACAGTGTAGAGTTATATAAAAGTCATTTAAAGGCAAAGATTTATTAAATCAGTGACCAGGGATGGACAGCTGTGGCTCAGGTGGTAGAGCGGTTGTCCTCTAATCGCAAGTTGGCGATCCCCTCGCCCCTTCACAGTCGATGTATCCTCGGGCAAGACACTGAACCCGAAGTTGCTCCCAATGGGAACAATGGGTGCTCTGTCGCTATAGGTGTATTAATGTGTGTGTGAATGGGTGAATGAGAAAAGAATGTAAAGCACTTTGAGTACCACCAAGGTAAAACACGCTATGTAAATGCAGACCATTAACCTTAAGAGAACCTCAGTTTTTCATCTGAACTCAAAAATATTCTAATAAAACTGTCAGACTGCAATCTAAATTCAAAATGTTTATTCACTGACAGACAAGATACAGAATTATATGCACCACATTGTTATAGATCAGGCTCTAAGCAGCAGAAAAACAAACAGGAATGCTAGTTCAGCTATAGTGATTAAGTGTGTGAATCAGCCTAAACTTGATTTACTAACATTACAGCTAAGAAAACTAAGAGTAATGGAGAAATTAGGAGAACTGTGTCCTGTGGTTGAATTGAATGATGTTTTGTTTCATGGGTAAACCAGCAGATTCATGTTACACTTCAGAAATTATGACACAAATAACTGTCCATACAGGTCACTGGACGGTGTAGCCGATTGTCAAGACACATTCCTCCACACATACTCTACCGGTATCGAAATGTATTTGACATTTACCCCCTGCTGATTTTTATTCTGGGCGAGTGGTCGTCGGTGTGTGTGTGCGCGCGCGCGTGCCCGTGTTCCTGCATGCGGCCATGTGACAGACCGATCGGAGTTGTCCAGCCTCCTCTTTTTTTGACTCGCTTGCAGTTGCATGGATCGTATTACTGGCTGGTCTCCCCGCACCGCTGAGCCCACCGCCTCTGCACCAATCACAGCCTGCCTTTTCTTACGAGCACATGCATGCACGATCGTACAGACTCTGACATACGCACACACGTACACACACGCACTCACGGCGATACCTCGCTCCGGTTCTCCGCTGCCTTCACATGCGTCCACACCGACTCCGCGTTGCGCTGGCTGCGCCAAGATGAGCGTTGTCGCCACGGTACCATCTGAACGGTACCTTCCCGTCGCCTGACTGAGTCAGAGCCAGATAGAGAGAGAGAGAGAGGGACACACACACACACACACACACAGAGCGAGCGAGAGAGAGCGAGAGAGAAAGAGAGAGAGAGAGAGAGAGAGACCATCTTTCCTCCCTCAAAACCCATCTTACCTTCGCCTGGAAGAGACCGCAGCGCCAGCCGTTTGTTTCGGCATCTTTCTTTTTTCCCCCCACCCCTCCTCCTCCTGTTCTTTCTGCATCCCTTCGTTACTGTCGGTCTCCCGGTTTTATAAAGAAACCGGAGAGCCCGATCGTGATTTGTGGAAATACATTTTGCATTTTTTCCCCCTGCTGGGTGTTGGTAGCGCGCAGTTGGTGCGCGCTTCTGCAAATTCCGGTGAATGGTGGATTTGGCAAACATGGAGACCGTGGAGAAGGAATGCGGGGCCCTCGGGGGTCTATTCCAGGCGATTGTCAACGACATGAAGGTAAATGAAAGTTTTTTTTCTTTCTCTGACATTCCATGGTTACACACATGTGTTCCATCCCTGAGAACAGCCACAGCCTCATCATAATGGAGCTGGTGTCTCGCTCTCAGATACTCGTTTAAAATGCCAGGACACACGCCTCTCCTGATTAACTGGTGCTGATTTTGGTCGTATTTAACATCGGGATGACTAAATGATGGCACCGATTTACTGACAGGGATGCGGCGGCCCGGTGGGTTTTTACTGCGAACCCCCCTACCCCCCTCCTCCACCAACATCTCCAGAATATTGGCTGCGCATGCAAACGTCAATGCATCCATTTTCGGACGCACTTGACGTGATCATGAAATCTCTCTGATTAAACGGGACCACGACACTCACGAAGCAGCCAGTCTGCTGTTTTCATTCAGCTCGTTTTGCTCGTCTGGCATTTTGCGGTGAGACGCGCAGAATTTGGTTTGTGTGTAGCAGGATGATCACGCACATACACGAGCCCCGTGTAACCCCGTATTAGCCAATTCATCTCGATGGCTTTATAGAGCACACTGGCATATTAGAGAGGCCTATAAAAATCCAATCAGATCTGCGTCCCTGCTGTGTTTGGCACATTCCTTTGGCCTTCCTTACACGTGTGAAGCAGGGTGGATAATTGATTGAGAATCGTGGTCTTGTTTTTCTTCAGAAAAGGTGCCCGCTTCACTATTGTATATTCAGCTTAGCTTCTTTTTTTCAATGCTTGGCCCAGTGTGCGTCTCCGTGAGAGTGCAGCGTCATTGATTTTCTGTCAGGCTGATCTGGCAGGAAAACATGAAGGCGTGAGAAGCCGTGCAGCCGTCGGACAGACAGTCTCCCTGCCTCTCTGTCCGTCTGTCTGTTCCCTCTGCCCGCCTGTCTGTCTGATCAGTCAGTGATTCTGCAGCATGATGGCTCCAGCATGGCACTAACAGCGGCCACTGCCAGGTTTAGTGGTTCAGTACCCACCCAGGCAATATGCACTGTGAGCTGCTGGAAGATGCTTCGGATGAAAGCCTCCATCAAATGGTTCAAGATACAGTCTCTGTAAATCCGCCTGTCAGACGCCCATGCACCTCTGCATGTTTTTCTGTCTGTCTTTCATTCCATGTCTTGCCTCTTGTCTTTGTCGCTCCCATTTTAAACGTTGATGTTTATGCACCCTGTAAATTTAATATGTGTGCATGTTTTTTAATTAGAGGTTTTATGTATGCCAATCCCCCCCCTCCCTCTTTAGTGTGTAAATGATACTGCTTTTCTCCTCTGCATTTCCCTGCTTTCTGTATGACCCTAAAAGCTAGAGGTCACAGCCAATGCTAAAGTCTCATTGTGCTTTAAGGACAGATTATTGGTTTTGTGTTGTCAGTGAGACGTGCGGGAGAAAGGGGATACACAAACATGATCCTGGATATCAGTACTAATCCATGATTATTGGCTGTTTATGACAGTAAATATAGAACAGATTCATTTCAGTTTAATTTAAGTCAATATTTCATATTGTACAGGTGTATAATGAAATTACTGAATAAAAAAAATCTACAGAAGAGTTAACGCTGACGGTAGCATGAAACGGACCACTTTATGCACATGACTGTTTTGTCTCCATAAAGAATTGACTTGAGATAGATTTGAAAAACATTGTTGAACATTGAAACAGCAGAGGCAGACCTATTCAGACTTTTAGTCCCAAGTGCTGGTCAGGCTCGAAAACACACTAGATCCTACACTGCCTACATACTGCACCTTGGTAGCACCCTCCCCTCTTGCTTAAACTACATTTAAAATGTGTGGTCTGCAACTCCAACATGAGACAACCATCATATGGCTCATATGACTTTCAAACTGTACCTCGTTCCGACTAAAAGATGAGGCCAAATACTGATGGAGGTATCATACATTCAAAATTGAAATCAGCAATACCAAGGTTGTAGTATTATTTTGATAGCATAAATATTTGAATCTCAAAGTGTAAATGCTGGCTATTAGTCAATGGGGGTGTCAAGATTCATAAAGTACATCTCAGACAAACCGGTTTGTGCAAAGACGATTGCAAAACAGTATAGATAGTGTGTAATGGGCAGTATTGTGGCATAATGTGCTTTCAAAAAAAAAAAAAAATCAGATTCCGATGAAGTATTATGGCCTCGTAATGCTTACTTAGATTGTTTTGGTTCTTTCCCACTGTTGCCCATGCTTGCTCATAGGGAATCCAAAGGCAACTTTGGCTTGTTTGGTACTCTGTATAAAATTCACAAGGTCTTCACCTTACTATATCAAGTGCTATGAGATGACATATGTTGTGAATTGGTGCTATACAAATAAAGTTGAATGGAATCAAATACAGGTTTTTTGAAATTTAATTAATTTTTTTTTTAGATCAGCAATATCACCTGTGGACATTTGTTGTATTTCATATGCTGTGGTAATCCAATACTAATACCCAGACATCACAGTAAGGAGATCACTTTGGGAATATGTTCTTTCCGTGTCATGTCAAACTGAAACTAAATGAATGGCAGGTGAACTCAGTGGCATGAATGTCACGCTCAGGCAGGACTCGCATGCGTTTCAGGCTTCATTGGTCTCAAGTCTTATTCAGTTTGAATGGGGTGATGTCATGCTTTGCAGAACTGAATTATGGGTCTGCTGCTTTACTTTGCTTGTATTACTTGCAGAAAAGCAATCAATACAGTCGTCGAGGAGTTGTGAAAAGCTCAGTTTATACCTTTATGCTAATATGTCAGCAAAGACACCCTCTCACAGGTTAGGCACACCCACTATCAGGTGCTGAAGTCCCACTCTGGTTGTTGATTTGACGTTGCTTGCTTTGTGATTGGAAATTAGCAGGAGCGACACAGATTTTAAATTTGTACTTTGGTAAACATCGAGGAGTTTCTTCTGTCAGCTGTATAATGGAATGCATCGGCCACACGGATCATAAATCAGGGCAGTTTTAAAGGGTTCCATACTAATGGAAAATCACTATTCTGCCAAATACAACCATTTTGAGATGATAACAGACGACAGAGTGCTCACCCCTTTGAAAAGTGCTTCATGTACTCCTCCTTAACAGATTACAGGATGTACGTATCAAGTGAGCAGGTACAGGAGAAGATGTTTTGCATCATTGCCATACATCAGAATCAGCTTGTTCTCTCAAGCACTGATGCTTAAACATAAACACACAGAATCATTGTATAAAGAATCTCACTTTAAAGGCTTCTCCCTGCTTCTCTCTTTCTCTGTTTATCTGTGTTTCATCCATTATTCATTGGTTTTTCTAATGGTCATCCTGTTTATGTTACCCAGCTGAAATATATGGGTCACTCAATTGGGTTAAAAACTATACTGCTCTAATCTGGAATGGATGAACTCTGCAAGCCTCAATGAGTAAGTGAATGGCTGTTAGTGAGTGGATGAAAATCACTGAGTCATAACCCCTTCAACTCTCTCTGACTCAACATGAAACAATGTGTCTTTAATCAGTTTTGATGCGCACCAAAGAAGAATCCATTTGTGAAATGAAACAAAAGAATTAATAGTTTTTCTTTGTTGGTTCTCGGAAACAGGCTGGTTTGGTGACCGAATTGACGCAAGACTTGTGCAATCATAGTGACTGCAGAGGAGACATTTTTAAAATACCAATGCATGATGCATAGCACTCTTCTGCCTGAACCACCAAAGTCCACACAATTCACTTTCAAATGCATAAAGTACAGTTGAATTCTACAAAGGAGGAACATATATTAATATGTAGCTTAATAATGTTTAGTCATTTGTAAGATATACTGTTCAAAAGTAGGAAAAAGGAAAAAACATCAGTTCATTGGTTCCAGCTGCCTGCTCCTGATTGTTGCCTTAAGACACTGTATTCTTCAAATATATTGACAACCTCCAGATTGTCCAGTAGCTCAGTCCTGTACATGCATTTTTTTTTTTTTATCATACACAAGTTTCTGATGAACCATGACCCTGTGATGGACTGGTGACCTGCTCAGGATGTAGCCTACCCAGTATCACCTTCGATGGCATGTCAAATATTTACCCCATTTTAAAGAATATTATTCTAATTCATCCCATGTGGTGTTCATGTGCAGCCAATTTGCCAAGATGTGACGTAAACCAGTTCCTGTTGTGGTTTCTAAGGTCTCACATCATCCACCTTCAAATAGATACGTGTATGAATCCAACCTGATCCAGAAGGTGTGGCAGTGTTTCTTGGGTCTCCTGTACAATTTTGGAATAAAATGACAAATATTTGAAACAACTTTAATTAAGATTCATGTTTAATAACAATATTAACATTTTTTACATTCTGTCAAGGCGTCCTAATAGATTAGATTATTAAAAACTGAAAAGTAGGTTGACACAAATCTAATGATGCAACTATCCTGATTGTAGTTCCAGTTACTCAGATGTGACAAAAATGTTAAATTACATTGTTAATTTAAAACACAATCACAATCAAGCAAAGGAAGTAAAAATAATTGTGAGCTGCAGCCCTAAAAATAAAGACATAGAATAAAGTAACTGCTTTTACTTGCTGCACAGTTGTTTATGCAATTCCTGGTGAGCACAGTAAGTGTGCTCATCTTGTGAAGATGCCATTGTGTTGGAACCTCCACAAAAATAACTTGGTAGATGTTGAATGCTGTATTCTGATTTATAATAGATCTCAACAACAGCCAAAACTAAGCTATTCATTTATGCAATTTGTAACCCAGTTGATTTTAAATTGTAGTACATTTATTTATTTTTGCAGCTGAATCTGCATGTTTTAATGGGAATGCTAAATACCCCAATATCAATACCTGTACACGAGATCCGTGTTAGAGTAACAGTCATTTTTGCAGCATTTGGAGGTGAAAATTTTTTTTGGAAGGTTTGGCTTGAGTCAAAACTCTCTTTTAGGTTTGTAGACATCCTCTGAAGTCATTATGCCACCCTGCCATGCCAAATTTATTATGTTTTCATTGTTTGCCAGTGGA